CTAATTTTTCTTCCACCTCTGAAAGGCAGAAATGCTGCATAAAATGCTTCCTTGAATTCTGTCCAGTTATGCATGTTGTTCCTGGCCACACACCACCAGCTGTGAGCAGGTCCCAATAAGATACCAGTCAGAGTGCTGATTAATTCCCGCTCTGACNATTAAACTCTGAAAGCTATGTGACTTTGTTAATATTCTGTCCTAAAATGCGATAAGATGTGCCCTTTTTTTTTTTGAGCACCTGCCCCTTTAGTGATCTCTGCACGGCCCTGCTTGGTTCTGATCAGCATTCAGAGGGAACAGCAGACCCAGGTCAACCCGCTAAACAAGATGTTGCTGAGCATTGAGTACGTACATCACAACTTCACGGCTGTTGTGTCTGCCATAAGAGGCAAAAACTACAACAAAGCTCACCCTGGCTTCCTTCCATGTATCTCTTCATTGTTTACAACCCTGATTGCTATCACACTGATGACATCATCAACGCTAACCCAGTGTGATGACACCCCCAGACACGCAGCGGTGGGAGACAGAGGCCATGCGGCTGCCAGCAGAGGAAAAAGAGCAAAATGCTGAACAACATGCGTTTGAAAAGCTGCTTTCAGTCTGAAATTAGAGGGTTAACGCAGGTTTTTCAAATGCAGGTTGGCTGCTATCCATTGGCTTCACTGGTCATAAAACCGGAGGCTAAATGGAATAGAGGAATCACCCATCTGGAAATCACATCAATTTGGTAAATCATTTCACAATTTCTCAGTATCTTATAAATTTTTTTAAGGTCCACATTTTGCGACCATAACATAAAACATTCCTGTGGCCTTAAGCGTCGGCGTAGCCCCTACACTTAAAACATCATCTTCTTTTTCCCTCCATGGTGTTCTTTCTGTCACCTCTTGGCAGTTCTCATTTATTTCTGCTTCCTGTCTCTGATATGGGGGATATTTTGCATCTTTCAGTGGCGCAGTGGTTACTGCGCATAACCCTTAGGCCTCAGTGCACCGATCAAATCTGTCCCTGGCATTTTTCCATAAAGAAGGACAGACAAACGTTGTCTCAATACCAATCCACATTGTGGATTAACTGATCTATCTTCAAGTATCACACGACAACCATCACCAACACTTCTATAATGCTGGTTTTACTGGCTTTGGTCATTAACACTGAGACGACAGTGACTGCTGCTACTTAACGTCCTCACTCACCACATCAGCAGGGTTACCAGATGTCACGGACTCAGGTTTTCCAGCCAAAAAAATGTTCATAAACTGCCTGGATATAGGAAATCTCGCCCAATTTGAACCGAAGTCTATTGTTCTCTTAGGTCATAAATCTAAAGAAAAACATTTTTTACCCATAGACGGAAACATCCCAACTTGGCAACAAAGCACCTAAGATGGGAAACATTAGCCTTTAGATGCAAAACCCCATCATGCACCATAACATATTTTAGCTAAGTATTCTTACATAAATCTGTTAAATATAAGAGGAACATCATAGTTTGGTTTAAAGAAAGCATTTTAGTTTTATTATAATTTAGTTTGTTGCAAGGGTTTTATAGTTTAAAGAAATAGAAAATGACACCAAATGCCAGGGGTCTGCAACCCAAACTGCTCAAAGAGCGATACTGGACCAAAAAACAAACCAAAAAATAAAATCTCTGGAGCTGCAAAAATGTAAAAGTCTCTTATCAGCCTCGTACGGCAACACGGGCTCTAAGTGTTTTATCCCACTATAAAAAATGACTACATGGACTTAAATATCTAATAAGCACTCATCAGTAAATGTTTATCTTGGAGCAAAGGTCACATAGCAGCATGAGGTGAGGGAGGAGCAGTGAACGCTCTCACTGCGCGCTGCTTCATCGCCCTTCACTGTTTAAGTTTGATTGCATTGATGAAATGATAGAAACATAAAGAAATCTTTCTATGGTGGACATGTTTCTGTTGGGAGGAGCTGATGGAGTCATGAGGAACCAAGCAGGAAGTGACATCATCAGAGCAGAGCTCTCTAACCCTGAAATCCCACATCCTCCGTCACCAGTGCTGCTTGGTTTTATTTTTATTTTGAGGATTTGGGGGGGGAAAAGTTTCTATCCCTGCATGAGAGCGCTACCTGTTGGATCTGTGGACAGTTTTCTATGTTTGCAACTATACTAGCAGCAGTATTGGAGTTTGGAGATGCAATTGCATTCTTTCTCTCACTGCATATTTAGCCTTCCCTGGAAATGCCTTTCCAAATTACTATTTTTATTATTCGACAAATTCTCCTTCCAAAGCAAACATGCAGGCAATCCTTCCTCATTGGTAATGAAAGCAAATGATTCACTCCATTCTTCTCTGAATCATCTGTTCTCATCAGCTTTATTCCTTTTTTCCCCCTTTGGGATCCATGGAGGCACATCTGCAGCTTTGTTAGCCTGGCGCCGCCCTGTGCTGGCTGCACGTTATGACCACTGATCTCTATGGTTATGATGCAAATTATTGTAAAAATATATTTATTATATAAATGTCTACAGCATTGGAAAACAGAATTAACTTTTCTTTGACCTCCTGCACACCATATGTATTTGATACCCCTGATGTATGCCAACTGTCACAAGGATGTGCATGACAGGGAAGGGCTATATATACTGCATGCATCATTAGGGAGTTAACATTGGATTACTTCCTAAGCCCCTTGAGTTATTTACTGTCACAGGTAGGAGCTGATTAATTGTTAGAGCCGCTATCATTTAAGGAAGGAACGCCTTTGCACGCTGAAATTAGGACCCGCTGTCACAATTTACTGCTCATCTGCTCCTACCCCTTGATGGTAGTGGTGGCCTAGTGATTAGGGCATAGAGCTTCCAGAGGTTCTGAGTTCAAAACCCACTCCCACAGACTAACACTCTGAGTCTCTGAGCAAGACCCTTAACCCCACATTGCTCCCTGGGCACCGCACAGTGGCAGCCCACTGCTCCCCAAAGGGAGGGGTTAAATACAGAGATGGAATTTAGTTGCTTTGTACTTGTGACAGTGGAATGACATAAAATCTGATTATAGTTTCACTGAAGTTGATTTCTCTTCTTGGTGCCCTCTTTGTCACTCTATCCACTGGTTCATTCTCCTCAGAGGCTCCTTCCTCTGCTTTAGAACTTGTTTCCTGGTCAAAGCAGAGAAAAGGACATCCTTTTATAAAAGCAGGGGGATCTGCCGCTCTGAGCACTTATGGATATATTATGGTCATGACTGGAAAACGTCAGTTTTTAATAACAACATTTCATGGATGATTTATGATTAAATCATGTTTAGAGAAGAAGCACAATAAAAACACATATCTGCTTTGTCTGCTTCTTTCTCCTTGAACCCCAGTCGGCCTCAGCAGATGGCCGAGTTAATATCTACCTGCTCGTCCTGTAAATTCTCTAAAGTGAACTGATGATCTGATAGTTGATGACATTATAGAAAAAAATACAGGAGGGAATATAAATGAAAGTCTAATCAACCGAAACTTTAACGCCCCACATGCAGTACCTCTGTGGACCCCCTAGGGTTCGCTGACCCCCTGTTGAAGTAACCTGACTCCGTCAGATGGATTTGCTCCGCATATCCATCTGGAAACCTTCCCTTGAAGTAATTTTGGGAAGGGGCGAAAATCCTGGTTAGCTGATTGGCCTATGTTGGTGATAGACGGGCCAAATAAACCAATCAGATCAACGAAGCATATGACGTACTAACAGAGCAACGACTAAGAGGAGCCAATAGGGGGTTTTCAGGTGACGTCACGCTTACGTGACTACTCAGCACGTCCGCCATATTGGGTG